TATTCAATATTGAATAATTTTATATGAAGATAAAGTTCAGAAGTGCATAAATGAGACAATAATTATAAATTATTAGTTAATTTTGATGTTAAACCTATAATCTATAATAAGGATGAAAATTAAATTCAATAAACAAATTAAAAATTACTTCAAGTATCGAATTTAAATTAGATAAATGGAGAAGTTGAAATAGTAAATCTTAATCTTCACAACTTTGAATTAAATTGGATGAATTGTTAAAATATTTCTAGTGTATTAAAAACTAGTCTGAATTACTAAAGGAAAATAAATACCAGAAAATAATTTTAGACGGAAATAACGATTAAGAACCATTTATTTTTCGTTATTTAAATTATTAATCATTTTCTTTGAATAATAAATCAGTATTAATGAATTAAGTTAATTTATTCTGAAGAAAATTCTAGCTAAATTTTTGGGGGTAAGGAATTTTTTATAAAATATCCTAACATGTGATATAATGAATAAAGATCTGTATGATATTAACTTGAAATGAGTGTTTTAACTTCATGATATCCTATAAGTAACACGTATTGAAGCACTAACTATATTCTTAATTGTAACATGATTAATAATTTATCTAATTTAATAAAACTCCTATATCAAGTTTAATAAATAAAATAGTTTTTTTCATTTGATGGATCGAATTTTTATTTCTTTTCAGGTACTCTCTATAATAAGAATTAAATAACCTTTGTCTTATGGATCAATTAGATTATAATGATTCAGTACCAACCGAAGTATTTAATTTTATTACTTAACAAAAAGCAGATTGTTATGTATTATTATTAGAGTTGTAAATATACTGAACATTAGACATATCTTCTCTTATTTCCTTTGAAAAGTGAACAATCACTCTATCTGTCTACACATCCATAACTGCTGCCTACACAATTTGACATTACTTGTTAACATACTGAATCAAGAATTATATTATTCCCAGATAAATTAGGTAAATTTTGACAAGTATTATACATCCATGAAAATTTTGAATAATAATAAGCAGTAATCCCATCTGCTAATGAATAATTGAAGGCTGATTTGTTTTAACATATAATTTGAGTATTTAATTTTCGGGCATTTTTTAGAGTCTACACAAGAGGAATTCCATTAACATTCTAAAATGACTAAGCAACTAATTAAGAACATGTTTAATTTAAGCATTCATTACTATTTGTTGGGCAGCCTGATTAACAATTCCTACTTTCATCATCCATGTTATATGTACTTGGAGCATGCGAACAAGATTTCCTTTAACATTTTCCATCTGTACCCGAAGTAAATTAGAGGAAAATTCATTGATGTAGATGAAAATAACATTAATAACAACCTACATAGAAACACTTAGTTATTAGTGATTTGAAATAAAATCTTAAAAATAAGTATTAGAATTAAAAGTAATAACCTAAATATAAGATTGAACAATTAAAAGACTGTAATTAACTTGAAAAAATAATATGAATTTAAATAATTTTGTGAATTAAGTTTATTTTTCTTTCTCAGGATCCTTTAATTTTTTTAAATTCAGTATCATATATACAGTCATCAATTCACATTATTAAATATATATTTGTCCACAAAAGTAGATTAGATGATGATAATTGGAAAAAGTAATAAATTTTTTTTGTTTGTCTTCATCATCAAAATTGAATAGGTAAAAAATTAGATTAAAAATGAAAATATAAAGCATTCTACTCTCTTTTTTATAATTAATTACCTTCTTCTTCTTTTGAATATTTTAGTTCAATTTCTTTTAAAAATGGGAGAAATCAAAAATAAAACAACATTAAAATTAATTGTGCACTTTCAAATAAGTTGTAAGAAAAATTAAAAAAATAATTCATATGAACATCAGTTAGAATTATTCTTGATATAAATTTTTGGTACATGCCTTTAGGACCAAGAAATGCTCTTTATAAAGCCATAAGTATGTATCTACATCTTCCATCAGAGACAAAATGATATAATCCATTATTACTTCTAACATTTAATTGTTGTTGCCATTATGAAAATATATATTAATTTTTTTTAATGGAATTCCAATACATGTTTAAATATAGGATAAATCATAACCAACTGATCGTAAAAAAAGTCCAAGATAGGAACAAACAGTAATGGGTATTGATACAATTAGAATTACCTATCAATACCCATAGTCCGAAGCCAACGAAAAGCTAATTTTTTGTTATTTTTTTATTAAATATTTTTTATAAATTTTTTATAATGACTTTTTTCTTAGGCATTTTATATCCTAGTGTTGGATTTATTATTAATTCACTTTTTTTATAAACATGCTAACAAAAATCAACAAATAACAATTGTTTCTAAGAGGAGGAGGTTGTGGAATGTCAAATACTAATATTGATCAATAATCAGAAAAAAATGACATTCAAACTTAAGTTTATGATTTCTTTTCGAAGTTCAATCACTATATTTAGATAATAGAATCTAAGGCATCTGTTGCAGCTAATTAATAGGAATCATCAGAAATAATGATAGCAATACAGTGGTTTATTTTTTAAGAGGAAAACATCTACAAAATCAATAAGAATGTATAAAGTGTTAAGAAATCATACGACTTAATTTTAGATGGAATTAGACGTTAATTGATAAGCTGCTAGACCTACATCAGATCAGATTCCTTCAAATGTTTGTATATTTTATAGATTAAAACATTCCTTTCTAAAGTAATATTTAGCTTTCATTTAATGAATGATGAGAGATTTATGAAATGTGAAATCTAAATTATTTTCTGGAAATTTGTGATGAATTACAATAATAAATGGAACTATTTCTTTTCTTAACCAAAACTTCTTTTGAGATTGCTCTTATTAATAGTAAAGACAAGGAAGAAATATTAAAAGGATCCTTAAAAGGTATTGTAGGTTCTCTAATCCAAATTAGCCCTGACACTGAGTTATTTGCATCATTATTTAAGGGAGCCTGCCTACTTTACAAAATGTAAGATATTTCTAAAAAGAGAAAATAATATGAAGTTTTTATCAAATAGATTTGTTATAATGGGAGGTAATAAGTTATTTTAAATATGAAAAATACAAAAATCCTAGAAGCTATAATTCTACAAATTGAGACAATATATGACACAATAGTTAAAAGTTCAAAAAATTGGAGGGAACATTATATCTGGATCCAAATGATTGGTAAAATATTAGTCTTTAATCCTCTACTAACAATAAAAAGATTAGGACAGCTGAATACTCTTTAAATATTGGGGTAAAATCAATAAGTTAGATTTGGAAGGATTATAATAACAGAGGATTATTAAAATAAATAAAAAATAATAAAGACACAGGTGTTATTCAACTTAATTAACTTTAAAATAATAAAATAATATAACATGATAGATTTTTGTTAGAAGAAAGTTTCAAAGGATGGGAAGACTTTCTAATACTTAAACAATTTTTAATGAATGAATAAAATTAAAATACCCCTTATACTTTCAGTTCATATTTAAAATGTAAACTAGATTTATTAAAAGAAGATTCCTAAAACTCTAAAACTAAGAAAAAATTGCGACTACCAAGAAAATGTAAAAGCTTTTAAGTTTCACAATCTCGACTAAATTAATTAATTTAATAAAATTAAATGATGAAAACTTGGGGGAAGTATTGAAAATCTTAGAAACAATTTAAGAAAGATGAGCAAGTTTATACAAGACTATTATGATGAACTGTTAATTCTTAATTTAAAAAGATCATTTACAACATATAAGAATATTTAAAAAACGACACATTATTCTAAAAATTCTTAAGCTGAATTAGATTAATTACTGTCAGTCTGAATAATTCAAATAGGAGAATTTATTTGAATATAATATTTTGTAACAGCTTAAATATTTAATGAGACTATTAGAATAAATATTATTAGCAATTTAAGAAATTTAAGACTCTATAAATCAAATTTGCAAGCAAAATTGTGAAACAGATGGAACTGAAATGCTTAGTAGTAGAAAGAGTAGATTTAGGAGGAATTAAAAAATCTAAATCTCAAAGATAACCAGTTTTCATTTATCAATAAGTTTGAATAAGAGCTTCGTGCTTTATCAATAACAACTCTTAATAAAGAAAGAGAGCTTTTTGAACTTAGAGCATGTTAAAACTTATTGAAAATTCTTAAAAATAAATCTCAAAGTTAGAAATTATATAACTTCAAAAGAATAGCATAAATAATTGCTTTCAGAGTTTATTGTGTAATTTATATTGTTTTGATGAACACAAGTATGAAGAACTTAAAAAAAATATTAATGAATTTATTTTAAGTTTTAGGAAAATTGTAATTGTATTATGTGAAATCAAGTCTTTTTTTAAGTTGAAGAATTTGTAAACATTAAATAACAATTTTTGGATATGCTATCATATTAATTTATATTCAACTAAAGTTTGAACAATTTAAAGCTTAAAGTACAATTAATTGTTTTCAAGGTGTCTTTTTAAAAAATATTAACAACTCAATCAGAAGAATATTCTTAGTTATAAAAAGTTATCAATTTGGATTAGTTTCTCATTAATGTAATCATAAATTATCCTTTAAATTTAATCATCAACCAAAATTAACATTCAAAATAAATATTACCTGAATTAATAACTATGCAAGTCACGGAGGAAGACTTCTCAAATAATTTATCTAAGTATCNCTTAATTAACTTTAAAATAATAAAATAATATAACATGATAGATTTTTGTTAGAAGAAAGTTTCAAAGGATGGGAAGACTTTCTAATACTTAAACAATTTTTAATGAATGAATAAAATTAAAATACCCCTTATACTTTCAGTTCATATTTAAAATGTAAACTAGATTTATTAAAAGAAGATTCCTAAAACTCTAAAACTAAGAAAAAATTGCGACTACCAAGAAAATGTAAAAGCTTTTAAGTTTCACAATCTCGACTAAATTAATTAATTTAATAAAATTAAATGATGAAAACTTGGGGGAAGTATTGAAAATCTTAGAAACAATTTAAGAAAGATGAGCAAGTTTATACAAGACTATTATGATGAACTGTTAATTCTTAATTTAAAAAGATCATTTACAACATATAAGAATATTTAAAAAACGACACATTATTCTAAAAATTCTTAAGCTGAATTAGATTAATTACTGTCAGTCTGAATAATTCAAATAGGAGAATTTATTTGAATATAATATTTTGTAACAGCTTAAATATTTAATGAGACTATTAGAATAAATGTTACTAAAAACAATTTAGAAAATTAATGATTAAAGAAATCGATTCAGCAAGGAAAATTGTGAAACTGATGAAATAAAAATGCTTTAGTAATAGAAAGAGTTAATTTAAGTAGAGTTAAAAATCTAAATCTGAAAGATAACTAGTTTTCATTTGTCAATGAGTTTTAGGAGAAGCTTCATGCCTTACCAATAGCAACTCTTAACTAAAAGAATTTTTTAAAAGAAGCTCAAAGCATTTTAAAACTAATTGAACATTCTCAAAAATAAATCACAAAATTAGAAGTTATATAACTTCAAAAGAAAAACTTAATTGAATGCTTTCGGAATTTATTGCATTACTTATATTATTTTATGAAAGCAAGAAGGTAAAAATTTAAAAAGTTTTTAATGAATTTATTTAAAGTTTTAGGAAAATTCTAATTCTTTAATGTGAAATCGAGTCTTTTTCTTAAACTTAAGAATTTGTAAAAATTAAATAACAATTTTTGGATATGCTATCATATTAATTTATATTCAACTAAAGTTTGAACAATTTAAAGCTTAAAGTACAATTAATTGTTTTCAAGGTGTCTTTTTAAAAAATATTAACAACTCAATCAGAAGAATATTCTTAGTTATAAAAAGTTATCAATTTGGATTAGTTTCTCATTAATGTAATCATAAATTATCCTTTAAATTTAATCATCAACCAAAATTAACATTCAAAATAAATATTACCTGAATTAATAACTATGCAAGTCACGGAGGAAGACTTCTCAAATAATTTATCTAAGTATCAAGGAACAATAGAATACTTAATATTTAAAGTAAGTATAGATGAATAAATTCTTCATTCAGAAAAAAAAATTTAGAGTTGATTTAGAAGGATTTTGGAGAATTATTTATAGAAAAAACTAGTTCAATTTCGCCAATAGAAAGAATAATGAAGATTTTTGAAGATATAGCAATAGATGAATCAATTAAAAATGTGACAGATGAAAAATGTAATCAATTAGAATTGATTAAAGAAAAAGAAAAATATGAGAAATGTTTGTAATAACATTTCAAATAATTTATCAATCAAATCGATAAAGTTGTTAAAGTTTTTTTAATTAATCCTTTAACTAAAATTTATAAATTTTTAAAAAACTTATCTTAATTGTTAAACAATTTAATAAAATTGATCGAAGAATTAATAAAAAGGATTTAAGCTGAAAAAAATGAAAGACGAAAGGAATTAATTATCAATTTAATTTAATTAATAATAATATTAAAATGATAAAAAGGATTAACAGAATATCCAAAAAAACTATTATTAATTGTTTTGATGAAAAATGTCAAACACATTTATAAATCATCATTAATGTTGTTAAAATATAAACGAAAAAGATAGCAGAATAGAAGCAGCAATTAACCTAATTACTTGAAGAAGTTAAATAGTTTAGAAATAACTATGTTCTATTTCAAGATTATAACAAAGAGATTTAAACGAAAATAAAATAAATGTTTCTTAATTGTCTCGAAGAACATATTAATAAATTTGAATAATCGCTTTCGACAACGGTTAACTTATAATAGATATAAAATGAGTCATTTAAAGAATATTTTGATAGAATATACATCAGTATATTATCAATTCAAAATGAAAAAAAAATGGCAGCAATATAATTGAATAAACAAATCTTTATGATTTTCTCAATAATTTAATAATTGAGATACAAGTAAAATTCGGAAAGTCTAAGTGTTTACCCTCAGAAAATTAAATTGATTAAGAATATCTGATTTAATAATTAAAACAATATAACTATAAGAAAAAGAGGAAGAAGGAGATGATGAAGATGATTTAGAATCAAATTAAAAATTAGGATTATTTGATGTGTTGAAGCAAAAGTATTACGATTTTAAAAATAATGACTAGTGGAAAAATTGTCTAATTTTCACAATTATTTATATTTCATCTAATTGCTTCACCGATACAATTATTTCATTTTGTTAGAAAGCTCTAATTTAAATATGGATTTTAGAAAAGCTTAAAGAGTTAGAAATTTTATTAAAAATTAAACCCTAGTAAGTTTGTAAATGTAGATCTTGGAGAAAGCTTGGTAGACTTAACATGATAGAATTGCAGATGATATGTAATAAATGCTGAAGAGAAGAATTATAAGAATAGCTCAAATTGATAACTGATTTTGTAAATCATATCAGAAAAGGTTTGTTAAGAGTTGAGGGAAAAATAAATTAAATGAAAGAGTAACTCAACACAATGGGGAATGATATTAAATTTTTGAGAGAAAAATCGGTAATATAACTACTTGAAATTAGAAAATGGAAAGTATTGAAGGAAGCAGCAGAAAAAATGTTAAGTCCATCTATGTACCATTAAAAACTCAAGAGAAGGATAAAAATGAAGTCAGTAGATTGATGAATTTTGATTAACTTGATGATAAAGCTGGAGAAGTGAATGAACAGTATTATTAATTCATGGATTAGCTGGATCTGGTAAAAGTACTACAGCCAAAAAAATTGAAGAGTTTTATTTTGGAAATTACATGATAGTAATAAAAAAATTGGGAATTATGTATTAATGCCTGTTTATATTTCATTACCCTCTTTAAAAATCCTGTTTTTTAAGCAGTAGAGGAATCACTTAAATAAGATGAGTATGGGTTTGATGATCTCTAATTGAAAGAATGTAAAGAAATATTGTAAAAGAAAGAATTCCGATTCATATTTATAATGGACAGTTATGATGAAATGAAATTAGAAAATATTCAGAAAAATTTATATATTAATAATAAGCTCAAATAAAATTGGTCAGACCCTCTTGTTATTTTTACCACCAGAAGTGACATTTTTACTAGCAGCAATTATGCTGATTGGTTTGTGCCTTAAGATAAAGAGAAATTTAAAGATCTTTAGCTACTTCAGTTTGAATAGAAATAAAAATAAGAATATCTTAAGAAATTTACGATTTAAAGTGTTACAATGTTAATTTTTGATATACATGAATGGTAAATGTAAACTTAAAACCAAAAAGCTCTGGATTTAAAAGGTTTGAACAGAGTTGGGAAAAGATAAAGTCATCATTTTTGATTTTCGATGAAGCTAGGTGGAAATCTAAGACTCTTTTGAATGAAATATAAATAATTAGTATTTTATAATGTTTGAAAGATGATAAGTTAATTGCTTTAAAAAGCAATGAAGCTATAAGAATCTTGAGCATAAATTTACAAAAATTATGGAGTTTTAAAAAGTATGAAGATATGATGACCTTGGTAAATCTAAATAAATTAGTGGAAACTCCATATATGAAGGAAATTATAGTGTAAGTGTTGCCCAACACGATTCTTAAACCAACTGAGATTATTAACATTAAATAAACCTTTTTGGAGAATTTTTCAAAGATGTTGATAGAATTCTTCATAAGTAAATACAGAATTCAGATGTATAAATCGCAACAGAAAAGGCATCTGTAGGAGTCAATAAATGAAGTTAATGAAAAATCTGAAGCAGAAATTTAAGTTGATTATGATGACTTATAGGAAGTTACTCATAACGATTTATACAACTTGGAAATTATTGATTACCTTTAAATTGCTTTTGAAGTTTGGAAGAAAATTTGATACCTTAATAATTGTAAATTTCTTAAGAATCTGAAGGACATAAATAACTTTAAATATTTTTTGAAACTAATCATTTGTTACCAAAATTAGATATTAAATAATATAAAAATTTAATAGGAAGAAATAATCTAATTTATTAATGATGCATTAAAAGAATACAATCTTACAATTTATGACTTTTATTGTGAGTTTATCAATTATTACCACTTGAAATAAATCGAAAAACAGAGAAACTTAGAAAAATCTATAGATACTGATCGTTTTATGCATGATCTTTAAGAATACTCAATTAGATTTACAAAAACAACGTGTAAGAATCAACTGACATAAGTTTAATATAAGTAGCAAGGATTTTTATATTAAAATGCTAGAACAGAAGAACAATCGCTAAATGAATTTTTTAATTATGATGATTAAAACGGAGCTTATAAAAATAATATAAGAAGTTGTTCACTTGTCTAATAAAAAGGTACTAATTTTTAATTTACCCATAAATCAATATAAGAGTTTTTGATTGCAGCTGATTTATATGAGGTTTTTGTTCAACCAAAACATTTTGATACATAAATATTGAATATTATATTAGAAATATTGTCATAAGAAAATAATCAAGATTAGCATTGCTTACGGTTTCTGGAAAATATAGATGTAAAATATTCTAAGACTTTTAATTAATAAGAAAATATATCATTTTAAAAAAATTTGATACTTTTAAAAAGACTATTAATTCAATTACTCATATGATCGTAACTATAATAGAACATGATATTAATTCTGTTAATTTTTCGTCTTAAATCTATGCTGAAACAAGATAATATCTCATTTAAAAAATATCGCACGATGATAGGATGATAGCATTTTCGAAATTCTTAGTAAATCTTATGATAATCTATAAACATTGTATTATAAGTGGATCTAATGCACTTAATATATTGGTTGAAATGAAAGTTGATCTAACAAAATATAATTTTAAAAATATATAAATTTAAAATACTTCATTATTTGGAGGTAATTTTGCAAAATACAATTTATCTAAATCTAAATTTAAGAATGTGAATATCAATTGAATTAACTGTAATGGAGCTTAATTATTTGGATTTAATTGGTAATAATTAAAAATAAACGATTTGTATTAATTAGATTGTCATGATGGTGCTTTTAGATCAGTCTGTTTCTCTCCTGATGGAAATATACTAGCTTCTGGTTGTCATGATAAATCTATCCGTCTATGAGATGTCAAAACAGGATAATAAAAAGCCAAATTAGATGGTAATACTAATGGAATATTGTCTGCCTGTTTATCTCATGATACCAATTATTAATTTTTTAGGTGGCTAAGCAATAATTCTTTAGATTAAACATAAAAAGATAATAAGGTTCAAATAGACTAATTCTTTTAATAATTATCATTTTTCATTTTTCATGATGTCCTTAAGATGGTTCTAAAATACCAGTCTAAGTTTGTCCAAGAAGGCAATTTCTAAGCTTTACAACAAGTTTTTCAAATATAAACACATACTTCTTCTAAAGTAATTAAATTTAATTTATTTATGTACGTGTGGCCAATTATTAATATCATTACTTTGTAATTTAAATATATTTAGTTGGTTCTTCAAAATTTATTATCCAATTCATTTTAGGGGGTTAATCTAATATTGTGAATATTTATGGTTTACTTTTATTCATTTATTCCTTCAATTTTTATGACAGATTTGCTTTTTATTTATTATAAATTATGGATAATTTATTATTTAATTGTAAATTCAACCAGTTTATGAGTTTTTAAAGTCTTAAGGGATATTATTTTTCGTTTAGATATTAATTAATTTCGTGAAAATCCTCTTGGAGTTAACAATGATTATACATAATCTCAGTGATTT